CCTCGTTACCATGTGACTAACCAAACTTATAAATATAGGTATTATACAATCGCCCGTAGCTATGAACACTCCCGTAAATGCGAAAACCAACCAAAATCATAAGGAACACGTCTTGTTTGTTGTTCTGTCTATTTGTCAGCCAATGTCTTCAACCACGGGGACTTGTGAAGTAGCCATCTTCAATTTTTTTTTTATGAAAAAGTGTTTCTCTCACTTTTTTCATATCTGTGTACATATTCTCAACATACCGAGCAAATACTCTCGTTTTTTTGTTAATTATCTAAAGAAAGTCGAAAATCGGCAATTCAACCATAGGCTAATTCAAACCAACATTTGAAAATGTTCCACCACTTACATTTTGATGATTTTCCCTCTCATCAATAGCATATTACGTACTATTTAATAGGATAAAAATTGGTTTGCATCCAACGCCCATAAAAGGGTGTATTCTCTAAAAAACAGTTTTTGTGTCTAAAATGTTATCATCGAAAATGGCATTTTTGAGATTGTTTCTTCCATAAAACAGCCAAATGGCGCGATGGAAACATGATTGTTTGTCACAATCATGCCATGAATGTATTCTTTACGGTGACTATCATTTGATTAGATTTTCATTAACATTTTACATAACATGCACATTTTATCAACACTTAGACAGCTTCTGAAAGGTACAACTTTGAGGAGCCATAAAAAACAAACCAAGTGACCTAAATCTTTATACTTTATAGATTTGTGACCACAACGGCATGGGCAATGCACCACCAACAGGAAATTTGAATCAGAGAAGGAGCCGTTTTGGAAACCGGCCCTTTGATGTAGAATACTTTGTTCAAAAGTAAATGCCATTTTTTCGCCCGTCGCATTGTTATCATTATTTTGGTAATTTAAACATCTTCCGGTCCCGATCGTCTGATTGTGTTATAGGGTGAGTTCTTTAACATTGTATAAAACATGCCCTGTTTGATAAGAAGTTACTGTTAACAAGTGATTAATTGAAAATTAAACAATGGCTTTCAATGTAAAATTAACTGGACTGTCTCAAAAAACCGTAAGTTGTGAAATGATTGAGAACGTCGGTTAGTAACATAATGAATGACACCACGAGACAATTATTTGTAAAATGCGGTATAATACTGGTTGACATGTTGGTATTTTCTTGTTGTTTATTTACCGTGAATGAATGACACCACGAGACAAATAGTAGTAAAACGCGGGATAATATTTGTTGACATGTTGGTATTTTCGTGTTGTTTATTTGCCGTGAATGAATGACACCACGAGACAAATAGTAGTAAAACGCGGGATAATATTTGTTGACATGTTATGTATTGGTCCTGTTAATCAGCGATTAATTAGAGGATTTTCATCTTAACCTAATTTATCGTGATATGTCTTCAACAAGAGGTAAACCTAAAACGTGATATTCTCATACTAGAAGAACATAACCAGTGGTTAGATACGTGGAAAATCCATCCATATGGTTCTGACTGTAGCGAGTTTGTTTCAAGTTTATTGGATCCTCAGATACATGGAAATGTATAACATGAGGTAAAACAATACTATATCAATAGACACGTGACAAAATGGATGGTAACTGAAAGTCGTAACGCTTCACTGTATTTTGTTAGGACTTCAAAGTACACAGTACTTTCATAGATCAGACTGATAACAACTAGCACAATACAATTTACTTATATAAACCAAGCTGGTAGCATAACATCACGCTATATGAGGATGCCATAGTGTTTCTTCAAAATATATTAAGACTTTAAAATAAACAGAGTGCATTTAGTACTTTCAATTTTCGTATTGATCGTAATTAGTACATCCAAATACACTTTAATAAAACACCACATTATACAATGATAACACAGTATTGCTTCACAATATTTTGTTACGGCTGTTCAAGACAACCAAACGGCATAAGGTACTTTTGTATATCAAATTGGTTTCATTAAACTACACTATTTAAGGACAATATAGTATTTTGTTTAGACTTTGAAATAAACTGGGGTATTAAGTATTTATATCAAACTAATAGCGATTTACACATTATATACACTTTGCTATTATAACACCACGCTGTTTAAAAAAAAGAGGGCATCAGGTGTATATGTAAAAGACTGATATCAATTAGTACATCTAAATACCCTTTGATATTATATAATGTTAATATAGTGTTTCTTCACAATATTTGATTAAGATTGTTTTAAAGTAAATACATGGCATATGGTAGTTTTTTTATAAAGCTGATATATTTGGGTTTCATAAAACCACTTATATAATGAAAACATTATCTTTCTCACAATATTTTGTCAAGACTGTTTAAAAATAAACAAAAGGATTTTGAATTTTTATATAACTAACTGAGAATCAGAGAAGGGGCCGTTTTGGAAACCGGCCCTTAATAAAATAAGCAAAAGAAAAACACATAATTTTTGTGTTCATGAGTAATGTTTTTATCTCATTAACAGCAAGAAGTGAACTGTATTTCCGAAAATTACCCCAGTTGCACAGAGAAACAGGTGATTTTTCTTTATCAACACTTCATACCATAAAGAGAATATTGGTAAAAAGTCATTGAATAGACAAAAATAAATTTTCTGGAAAGTCAATAGTTATTGGGCGATCCAACGTCCCGTGGGAAATGGTTGATCAGTGTACCGATGTAGGAATACGATACTGATATCCTTCAGTGTATTCTAGTAGCGTTCCACAAAACGAAGCTAAAATATAGGTAGGGAACATGTGGAACATCAGCACCAGGGTTTCCGTAAAAGTGAGGGATCACGTTGTTTTTGATGGTTTGGAACCGTGACGTTCTGATGACTGATTGCCTTGTCATCAGAAATATTTAGAAAAAAAATCGCCGTTATGAGATCACCGGTGTTGATGCTCCTTTTGTTTTCTACCTTAAAATCATTAAATAATAACAACAGTACTTGATATATTCCATGCTTTCTTTCATGTACCAGAATAAAAAATAAATTGAATTGATTTTACAACGATTTCGTCAGTAATATTCTTTGACGATTCTTGTACTCAAAATATTAATTTCTTTGGTAAATTTTGAAATACAGGTAAATAACTTACAAATTTGAAGTTTATCATTTAGGTCTAATTTCATTTTTTGACTTTTCATAACTTTTAAATGTTACAAATCTTCGTGCTAAACATTTTGTAGATACAATTAAGTTCAGTGGGGTTTTTATTGTGTAAACTAACTAATAGTCACACAATGCTATATATATTCCAGCTGACGTATTCTTTAATAGTCCCCTTCGTACTAGTATTTACAAGTGCATAAAACTTTAGTAATTCTAAACGATGAAAATCCTGAACATCTGTTTTTCAAAATCCCATAATGAAGAGATGGTAGATTTTACTAAGCCCAAACCTTTGCATATCATGTCTGGTTGAATGTCGTGGTGTGGTTCATTTAAATATATATATTATATATATAATTATAATTGGGATTTGTATCTGCGTTAATACGTGAAGAGAGTCAATCACGAATTCAAATCCTTCGCTTCGTGATTACTTGTACGGAAATAACTCTGAATGGCATTCATATTGATCAAGGTACCGATGTCGCAGTCCTGGTCTCTTCTAGCTCATCAGTTTGACAGCTTTTCAAGATCAGCGTTCGCGAAATCATGTATTCGGTATATGTCCGAAAAGGGAAGTTTACGCGAGGTAATTTTACAGTATGCATATCTTGCTTATAAATCATTTTGTCAAGGTGAAATAAATGTCCAAATCCTATATCACTATACACAATTACACTCACGAAAACAAAATCTTCCAGCTCGTCAATTATGTCAATGAGTTCTCTAATTTCATCCCACTCTGCAATGATTTCATCACTAAAATACAAAGCGTTTGCCAACATTTTGTGGGAGGGGGTATCTTTATACTTTTGATAGGCAGCATATCGTCAACTATCCCAATAGTGTGTTACTTGTGGTCTTTATCCTCCTCATAACCGAATTCTTCACTTTCACCGTAATTTAGCTACCATCGGGTTTGGTCTACTAAGGACCTTCCCGGGTATCATGTGAATTGTCGCTGTTTACCAAATCAGAGAAGGCAAATCCCACTTGTTTTCGTCCTCTCGAACATCAATCTCCTTCTTGTCACTGAGGACTTTCCAGGTATCCTGTGAATTGCCGCTGTTTATCATATCAGAGAAGGCAAATCCCACTTGTTCTCGTCCTTTCGAGTACCAATCTCCTTCATGTCAATATATTTTTTAAAGTTGTTCCTAAGACTATATAGTTCATTGTGGTTTCCTTTCAAAGTCCTTATACATAAGTTTCTTTTGTTAGCTGTACGTAACTCTAGAATCGTATCAAAATCATTTTTGGATTCATTAATTGTCCTTCATTTGTCTTGCATTTTCCTGGAGTCCTTTTCTTTGTTTTTTGTTTTTGTTTATTATTCTACTTGTCCGTGTCCTGCCTCTCAGCTTTTCTGTTTTCAGCTGTTTTGAAAGTCCGTGGTCCTTTTTCATATTTTCCTCCATCTCAAACAATGACATTAACTAAGTCTTATTTAATGTTACTAGAAGAGGTTTTCAAATCTCCTTAACCACACATATTTCCCGAGTATTTATATTACGAATCTGATCGTCATTCTGTATTCAGTATTAAGGATATCCAGTTGTGAAGCGATATAACCACAAGATCCACATGTAAATCTGGTAAGCAGTAAATATTTTCAGATTCTGTGAAAAGACTCCTACAAAAGAGCGCAGATTTAAACTTCCCTATCACAAAATATTTTCTCACATCACCAGAAAATAATCTTGTCGTTGCTTGCCAATCATCCAAATTAACAATTCATGAAATAATTGCACTGTTAATGGAAGTACATCATGGTCATAACTCGACAGTCCAGTGGACTCTTTCGAAAATGAAATGGGAAGAGCGAGTGCAAGTCTTCGTCCTACCTTTAGGGGCAATAACTACTCATAACTACTTGTTCATCAATATTAATTTCTAATTTTCCTCGCATATGAAACGGTATGGTGTTGTGCAGCTTCCATCTGTTAGCACATAGTTTCCGGTAGCTCTCCACAATACCAGACATGGCCCATCATTATTCATATAGACCGTTGACCATCCGGTAGTGTGATCCAGGATGGTGTTATCAGGAAGTTTCCAAACACCGTCAAGTTTTCCCCCAGCTATGAAAAATCCTAATCGTGCTATAATAACAAATATAGATAAGTTAAATATTTACTTGTTAGTCAACATATTACGTATTGATTTGACAGCTGAATGTATAATACATTTCGTGTGAAGTGTTTCATTCTATAATTAAAACATAGACATTATTTCCGGGAGGAATTTGGGGATCAGTCAATCACTTTCTAACAAGTTATGATAAACTGTGGTGTCAAAAGATCGCCGCCAATCAGCCATGTTGGTTTTGCACAGTAAAAAGGAAAGCTAATAGAGTAAATTCTTATGGTAGCAGTACACAGTTTCTCGGTGTGGCTATGGGTGATTTTTTGTTCATTAGATTACCCCATTATAAAGGTTTTAATTAAAAATGAAAAAAAAACCTTGCTAAAATTGGTCCTGTCATGTTAAAGTGGACAATGTGGGGTTTCATTTTTTTCAGGATAATATTTTAGCTTTGTGTTGGAGATTACTATTTGGGCAGAAATGCAAATTAATTGTTTACTGCTACCTATAGTATCCTCACACTGTAATGTCAAAAACTGGACACAGACTTGATGCTCCGCCTGACTACATAAAACAGCTTTTGTAAACCCCATTAAATGCTAAGCGACAAACAGGTCCAACCACTTGCTTAACTTACTTGAATATTTGAATCGCAGATGCTGTTTGTCATAGTAGTCCAATTTCGCTGCAGAATCAATCACTGCCAGAGTCGCATTTTCGCTGTTGCATGTTTGAATAGCGACTGAAGAGGCGGCAAACTGATCGTGGATTTTGAAGCAAAACTTCAATTTTGAGGACAACAAGTAGTCGGCTCGCCGGCATGGTTCTGAAATGGTATACACATATGTATCAAAATAGAGAACCATCTTCTCATGTGCAGGATAGTAAAAAGTAAAGCAAGTAAAAGTTAAAAAAGAGAAATGTGGTAAAACTACCACTCTTTCCAGTTAAGTTCCAGACCTTCGTCTGCAGAATGACGAAGAGGATGTCCAAGACTATTTGGACTTAGTTGTACCGTGTTTTATTTATATTTGTTGAAAGTTTTTTTCCTCCGGAATGCACATTAGCATGGGCAGACCAACACCACAGTAATTCACAAATTTTGTGATTTTCATCCGTCCCCGTTTTTACTACTGATCATACATAGATATGTGCCGGAATACACATTAGTTTGGATGCATTTCTTACGAAAGTGTAATATATCACCAAATATACTTGAGTGAATAGCACGAATTTGAAAATAGGTACGGTACAGTCTAATAATGGATTAAACTAGATGATCTTTTGTTTCGTCCTGGTGAGACTCTTGAGTGATGTAAAAGTTTTGAATCCCAGGAGGCAACTGAGGAAAATCTTTTTTGAAACATAAGAAAAATCTGGAAGTGCACGAACAATAGATTTCATAATTTCCTACATTGCGTATTTTCAAACGAACGTCAAGTATATGATATTTCAAAAGTGAATTTTCATCTATATTATATCAACCCTTGCTTCTTCTGGCGTTTAAAAATCGACCATGGCTACTTAAGTGCTTTAATCACCTATCGAAATATATTCTAAACATCTGTTTTCTGATGGTTTGGTTTACATGAAAACAAACTGGATTCGTCAAGCACGCGTAATCTTCCAGAACACCTAGCCTTAATATCATTGTAATTTTTAAGGAGTCTACGCGTAAAGATATTATAATTCTTGGTCTTAGTTTTATTGAATTTGAGTTTGAATGGAGATTTCGATGATATGTCGGTATTTTATTTGCTTGTTTTTAAACTGTGAACTTTGGGTGATTTGCGAAGATTAACTAATTGAAATGCATTTCTAGATAATGAAGATCTACGTTATGGAGAATGAATAGTAACTCCGGAAAGCCTCCGGAGAATCCATTCGTTATTCTTGCTATAACCCTTACATGGGATGAACCGTGGATAGAACTTTCAACTACATCACACTAAAAGTAACCATATCAGTAAAAGCTGTTAAAGGAACTTTCAGTAAAATGAAAATGTAGCACATGCCGGATTCGTTTTTTCGGGCATGTAAATGGTTCCGAAGGGATGTTTTTATAAAAAGATGAATACCAAAGAATTCACTCGTACGACCACTAGCTTCAAGTAAATGTTGATCGCTTGATTTGTGTATATTTCTAAAGTAATCTGTGTTATGAAAATTTATTGAATTATGATGTCAATGCTACCCCCCAATATAGATTTTAACATTTCTGTCCATCAATTGTGATTTTCCTCAGTAGCCTCTTTGGAATCAAAATTTAGACCCTTAACATCACTGACGAGTCCTAGAAGGACGAAAAAGCGGTATGATGCAGTTCAATACATTCTTTGGCGCTACTTATCTAATTCTAAAATTTGTTTTAAAGGGTGCTATTCACTTGTGTGTATCTTGTACAACCTTTATAAAAACCGAGACATAAGATAAGTCGTAAAAAAATTATTTATATCATTTTAATCATGAGTAAATTATACAGATTGTTGTAAAAGAATCTGACCATATGTTCTAGTTTAAGAAGTTTGATTTTTGTATATGGTACAAGGCTGCATTATTTATCGTGTCTATGCATGCCATTGAAATTGTCATCCTTTACTATTTTTCTAACAGCATTTGGTTCTACTACATCTGGGTGTTGAGAAGATTTTCGGAATATAAGTCAATTTGACCCATTTGGCTCCACCCATTTTCCCCTTGGGGTCAGCCAGGATCAATATGTGCATTCATCAAGCCGTCCTCCTACACTAATCATTCTAATCATGTTTGAGATATTTCCGAAGGAAACAAATTATACTAAAAATGTGTTTTCCCTATGTACACTAGTAAACTTTATCCCTCTCCAATGGATGATATGAGATCATGTGGATATGAAGTTCACAAAATATCTTTTTCCTATGTACACAAGTAAAATTTATCCCCAACCAGTGGATAATATGAGATCATGTGGTCATGAAGTTCACAAAATGTGTTTCCCCAAGTACACTAGTAAAATTTATCCCTTCTACAGGGGATAATATGAGATCATGTGGTCATGAAATTTACAATTTTGGTATGGCACTTTAAGACCTATCAATCCATGAAGACCATTTGATTCCAACATATGAAGGTGTTAAGAAGATGTTTGTTTGTATAAATTTGAGTCACTTTGGTATTTTCTTCGTTTTTTCAGTTCAAGACATTATGTTCCTAGAGACAGATTTAATCTTGTTCTCGACGGCATTTTCAGAACTTGTAACAAATAATTTGTTACTGAAGATTTTTTCACGCTCTTGAAGGTAGACATGATAGTATGACACGTAGATATCAAAACCAATGGACCATGGACTTGTCAATATTTGTATATGTCGTATATTGTATTATGATGGAGATTCAGATAGATTTATCATGGCCTGCGGGTTTCCAAAGGTATACAACCACAGCACTGTATCTTAATGTGTTATATATATGTATAAGTCCCCCGTGTACGAGATCAATAACAACTGTGGAACTGTCTAATTAGGTGCTTTATGACTCCCGAATATCTCGTGGCATGTGTTCCCTTGGGTGGCGGTAGGAGAGATTGAATGATAATTCAATAATTGACACTAGTACAGTATCCAGTAATCGGTGCTGTGAAATTAAATCGAGCGTTTTTCGATCGGTGGTCGTACCGAAAATGAATTAATAACTTAAATGCCATTACAGACTTAATAGTGATACCAAATTATCGCACGGTAAGTTTTCCTGCTTCAGTGAACTGGTTGTTCTATATGTAAAAAAAAGACGGGGTTGAAATTAGAAAATTATGGTGTACTATGTTTATATAGTAAAACCAATTACCTGGATGGCATATAGTGGTATTGTCATGTAGTTTGATGCATTTCGTATTCGGAGGGCAGTTCAATGACTCGCAGGCTATCTGTAAAAGAACATTAAATGTATAGATAGAATCTAGTAAGTAATATCGACAGTATGGTCAAACATTGGTACCGGATCCTAACAAACAAGTGTTTGTTGGATGTGTATTACTGGAATAGATAAATGATTAACGATAGTATGGACAAGTTAATTGTCAAATCTTCGAGGCAGCCTGTCCCTTTATCAAGACTCAAATATAACATAAATCACATCACAGTCAGAGAACATAAAAAAATGCAAAGTTATAAAGTTGAATCTAGAGCGGTGGTGTATGTTGAAAATTAACAGCAAAAAGTTTTAATATTAGACCTTGTTTTAAGGTTAAATAAAAACGGTGAAGCCGGGTGAGGAAATTGCACAAAAACCACTACTAACCGTGACAATATTATATTTTCGTCGACACTAAAGCATGGTAGTACAACTATTCATGTTATGCAAGAACAAACTAGCTGTAATGTGCTTCTTAAACCACCCTAACCCTCCGCGTTTGGGATTTGCTGAGAAGTAAAGGAAAAGTATTCCAAATATTACAAAACTGGGTAACCTTTCCCTCAAGATGCTTCAGACTAAATTTAGTGAAGATACCTTCATCTAATCAGCAGGATTCTAACGTTGTGTTTCTATTCCCTCTATTGGACCCAAATCTGGCCTTGTTTTTCAAAAATATCTACTTTTGTTCTTATCACTTGTAGCACACCGCGCCATGGCATATAAACAGCACCAAACAGATGTTAGCTCTTGAGAGCCTTTCTCCTCATGTGATATGTATTTCAGTACCATCATATTGATTTTTCCAAATACATATTTCGATTTTCAGTCATCATGAATATTTCATCTTTTTTACTAGAGTAACGATATTGGAAATGACTCGAATGAATGCCCCTGATATTTATTTTGATAATTTATCATTTCATATCACTTACCTTCATCAACCATTTTTGTATATGAATATAGTGCACATAATGATATAGCTTTACAGATGTGGTTGCAATAGTCCTAGATACACTGCATCATACATTTACCTTTCCACTGCTCCACTTTTGACCTTTGAAATAGTACTCACTACTCCATGCTAAACATGAAAGCTTATTTTTTAGTTTGGTAGCGCTATAAAATCGGTAGCAGGCTCACACCAGCACAAGGAGACTTGATAGACATTTTCCTCTTTTCACAACCGCCTCCATTGCCTCCTGAACCCAAGATTCGTCATTTACTCTAAATTTATTTCCCTTCTCGAAATTACATCAAACATCTTCCACCTGAGGACAGATTTTAAACTTTGTCCTCAATTTCCCGGTGGAGAGTGGTATTGTAGACATCGCTTTTGCATTATAGGCCTGAGGTACAGGCCCAACAAGGGAAATTTACCTGAATATTTAAAATTCTCTTCCTGCAGAATGATGAATGCTAATTTGTATCGCTTCTGTGACATCGTTAAGCGATGGGGATGGGGACTTGTATAAATACGGATCCCGGCATCAATGTTATTAAGCTAAATGAAGTATCCTGTCCAGTGGAATCTTTTATACTTCAGTGTGGTAGCTAGTTTCAGGGCTTTTTGAGGTTATTATGGGTCCAATGGACGTAAATATAAAGCTTATATTTTTTTGTTGTGACGAAAGAATTTTGATGGAGTGTTAAGCTTGATATTAATTAATGAACTATAAAACAACAGTTCTATATCAATCAAGAAAACAGAATACCACCCAAAGTAATCATAATGACTACCAAAAAAATCCAATTGAATTCATCAATCTATATATCTTGAAACCACGCGACTTCATCCCTACGCAAAATGTGGTGAGAATCTATTGTCTGTTCATCACATTGTTTAAAAACAGAAGAAAAAAATACCATTGACAACAGTAACATGCAATGCGCTAAATCTGTTTAATTTACCTGATCTGCATTCAGTCCGGTTTTGTTGACAACCATATGAACCGATCCCGGTCTGTTTTCAAGGAAATCTTCCGTTGTTTGACCTGGTGTGACCAATGTGTTCATTTCACACACAAGACGAACGTTATCATAGTTAATAGAATCACAGTTAACCTTTTGATAACACAACTTGATACACTGTTGAAAACCGATGTTCTCTACAGTACTCTGTACAAAACCAGGCAGATAACGACCTTTCCCTTCTCCATAGTGTTTCAAGTTACAATTCTTACTTGAGATATCGACTGTCATTAGAAAGATGTAATATAAGGTAAGAAAGCGTCCTCGTCTCATCATCTACTTAAGTTATCGTGACTTTTTCAAGGTACACTGGTCATTAATTAGCTGTATCATTAGGACAAACTAATGTTAAATTCCCATCGATGTAAATGCTTATCTCTCCTGGCTTAAACAACTGATGCCGTCGACTTATGAAAATAATTCCTACCTACACATGAAAATCCGATACATATTTAATATCAATAGGGACTCAGGCGATGTTATGTTCTGATATGTCAACTGTTTACTTTCTAATTAAAACCATACACCGCATGAATTCAGTCTCCAAGCAATACATGTATGTTAATTGATTCAATTCCCCTTGTTATAAATGATTAATTTGCAATAGAAGGTTGCATCCCTCTGTGGTTCACTGCTCGTTGCATGAGTAGAAAACATCTCATTTATCTCTGCTCCACCTTCAACCAGAGTTATTACATTATCAGTTGATTAAACAATGTAAAAGACATCCACCATTTGATAGAAATTTTGAAAAGTTTAGCCGAATATTGATATTAATAATTAACAGTGTCTGCTTTCCACTAAGCTCTATGAAAAACGTCATATCAATTTTCCACCAGTGAAGTATCTATTTCTGAATAGCAACATCCCCGCATGCTCGTATGTAATCTGTTATTCTTTGGAGAGTCACTTAACCTGCACTGTTTATCTTTTATAATCGTGTTACATTATTTCGCTATTGAGGCAGCATACGGCATTCCTATATATAGAGAAAAAGAAGAGTTTTAAAGAATTCGCTCTTTTTCCCCTGTGGGGCCAAGTTCTGTGCAGTACAGGAAAACATTCAAAAACAAAGCTTCTCAAACTTCTATATTTTTCAGACTTCTTTATGACCAAAAAATACATGATATAAGAAACCAAATATCCGGAAAAAGTAAATTACAATTAATTGAAGAAATGAAATATCCGGAATTAACATGGTAAGGGAAATAACTCTTAAGGTACAATTAAACAATTAAAGTATTTAAATATATATTTAGCAAATTAACCATCTCATATAGTTGCTATATAACAGTTCCTCCCACCCGAGAACCATCGTCGATACATAACTGAGTTCCTTTCATCCAAAATTGAGTTGAACAGTGAGATCCTACAGCCGTGTAGGGCACCATTTCTTTCGTATTCGGGACATTAGATCAAGTGTAGGATGTCCTGCACGAGGTCTTTGTAAGTATGTTTATCTGGAACTCCTATGAAGCCGGTATCAGATCCACAATATCACAAAGAGTATGGCTTATCATAGTCTTCTAAAAGTGTACATACTGAAATAAATCGCCCCCCTCGCATACACTATAAGGTCGTCTGTAAATGGCCTTAGTTGTTGATAGGACGTTGATATAAATCAAACCACAGAACACAAAGGATGTGCTTGTACAATATTCCTGAATTTGGGATACTCCGCACAAGTTAGGATTTCATGGACTGCTTTTGAAGAAAACTACAAAACCATATACGTTTTTCCTTATGGAAATCGTACACTTCACTTTACCATTTAAACAAACATGATATTTCATTCTTGGAAAGTCTTTATAGATTTGACAAACGGCTCTGATTGCGTCATTACAGACTTGCGTTATCAGTCGAACAGAATATCAAAACGGTTTGGCGAGGAATATTTCCAGTAATTTAGCCTGTCCAAACTGACCACAGGAGAGATGTTTTCATGGTAACAATAGTTTTAAAAGTCATCAGAATAGGTTCTTGAAAGGTACAGCACAACCAGACATTTTGCAACTTCGGTGGAATACAACTTTAAAAACAGAAAACTTAGACGGTGATGATGAACATATCGCTGGAAAAGGACACATCATACACAGACAGCAAAGTTCCAGCGAAAAGTAAAAATACAACAGCAATGGTGAAACTGACATCCCAGAACAGACATACACTTTCACCGATATCGATTGTCAGGTCGTTCATAAATGTATTGCTTTCCAGATGATTTTCATATTCATGCTTTTTAAGAAAGTTGTTACAGAGCAGCCGAAAGCAGAACAACAGGGATATTCTGTCAACGTTACTCACGAGAAGGTGTTTCGCCGACTAAGATCTACCGTAAGTATTTATATAAAAATTACAAAATATTCAAAGATACTTCTATGACTCAAAATATTCAGATTCTGAAATGAGTTTTTACAACTTTTTCTATATACATGATTTGAAAAATATGAAACGTCCGAAATTTACGTACACGTACGTGTAGGCCTACAGCGTTCAGATAAATTGATTATCCTTCAGCGCAATAATAGATTGCATGTTCATTATACAGTATATGTCATTATTGAGGTTTTAATCAATAAACTGTATAAAAATCTAGGAAGATCAAATGATTGCATTCCTTTTCATTAGGGTTGATTATCTACAAATGTTAGGTAAAGCTTTCACTGGTGTACAAATGCGTCCCTTGGAATAAAGGGCTTCAAAGACTTGGTGCCAATTAAGCTGTTTCAAAAGCTGACATAGTATTGTTACTGCAAAAACCATGAAAAAGACACTGATGATGTCAAACTACATTAAGTTCGTAGGATCTTTGACTGTGTTTAGGAAACCATTTGGAGACATTACAAATACACAAGCCAAATGAATTGCATAGCAATAATTGCAATTGATATAGACATACGTGCAACAGAAGTCATTATTTATTCCAATGTCTTTACTAGGATTCAAACCCCTGGCTTACTATTCTGACGCTCAACCAATCAAGATAAAGAGACGTTCCCTCTAGCCTAGCGGTATATTTCGGCTAATATTTACCAGGGTTACATACTTCCCCCCCCCCCTAGAAAAACAGTCGTCCTCGAGTGCCAAGAGGTTACGGTTCCGGTGCGCCATTTTGGGGGGTTGATAATGGTGTTAACAACGCTCTAACCACTATCTACCTCCTAAAATGAGGTCGTCGGGGCGTTAAACTTTCGTTGGTTTTCTGGAACATAACCACCGGGTGTGGGCGGGGACTCGCTTGTCGGGGGAGGCTTTTTGTAACGCAGGGAAGTCGCTTTAGAAGTGAAAAAATCTATACCGGATTCTTGAGGTTCTGATTCCCTACCTGTAGGACTCATTACATCCTGTCGATGAGAGCAGATTCTTACGACTCGTTCAGTGAGGGAACCATTTTCAAACATCCCTCATCGTCTCGGTGAACATTTGTTTACACATGGCTATAAAACTACAATTTTGTCAAAAGCAAGATACAATAACTGGATTTGACGGCTGACTGAAGAAAACTGAAAACCAAAATGACGTCGAAAAAATGCTTCATTTTCTCCTTCCTAATTTGAAGATATCCTAGCCGTGATGTTGTTCTAGAAGCGTAAAAACTTTTTTTTAAGTTTCAGTCTTGTCCTTACAAGAAATGATTGGTTATGATTCAAACAAATTTGTCTATCGTTTATCATACATTTTCCCATCTTTTACTTGTATATTTTGTTCTTAAAACATATTTCATTGTAAAAATTTCAATGGGATTGGGCACAAGTTTTCCCTGTTATGTTAAGCTCTTTCCTCAAGGTGTGGAACTCCACATAGATTTTAAGAATGTTGCAAACACAAGTATCCGATACCACTGCTGGGTTAAGGCCTAAGTGTTTTCACCAAAACCAGAAGACGAGAAAAAAGGCACAATTTTCATTAAACGATTATCAAGACACTTTCCTCCCAAATCTTTCTTGGCAGTTTGCACCTGCATTTCATGTAGTTCGTGTGGTAATAAAGAAAATGATGGAGAAAAACAATTTGTGAGCAGTATCACGACCTAAATGAATCGTGAGTTGAAAAAAAAACAACAATAACAACAACAACAAAAAACACCAACATGTCAACAGAATCTTAAATCAATAAGAATTGAGTATAAGTAGTTATTAAAAAGTTGTGTACGATGATCCTTCTATAAACGTATGTATATACAAACAAATTTATTTGTGTGCTTTAAAGGTACGTCTTCTGTATTTTGCAGGTATTTTACACAAGTTTTCAACATTTCAGATGCACAAACTATGTGTATATTCCCGCGCTAGCATTGTTATGTTACTGATATTCACCTACTTGGATTGACTAATGTTAAAATGGCGGACGTCGACGATGAAGCAGAAGGCGCTTACTGATCCGTAACGCCTGGTATTGTTATCCTTTCACTTTTGCAAGAAACTCTGTGTAAAACTTTCTTTTGTTCATATTTTGCCCGAGTTTTAATGGATCAGAATTTGGATTGTGATTATGTTGACAGGTTGGTGTTTTCACTTGTTAATATTTTCTTCTATATCACTTCGAGTACTAAGTATTTCAGAAACATATTTTCTTGTACAAGTTATAAAAGTGTATGAGCAAATATTGTTGATATGTTGGTATTTTCTATATAAGGCAATATTTCGTAGACATTGCTATTTGTTGTCGTGTACGAAATCCAGCCAAGAATTTCGGAATTCAGTGGTGCCCTCGGTGACACAAACATAATACATAAATTAGCAAGAGCGCTAGCTGTTGTAAAAAATATTGTGCAGACACTAAATTTGGGTTATTCAAAATATATATTTTTCCGTGTCTGTAAAATAAATGAAAGGCTGGCTTTTGTTGAAGTACACAAGATCTCTCAAGGCAAAATTGTACATCCAAAAGTCTGAACATTTTCATCTTTCTACAGCTACTTTTTGACATTACAACCACATTAAACACTTACATCATCTAAGAGAGAAGTGTTTTTCTTTTCTTTTATTTTTAAGCAGGGAGTTTTTCGCTGCCTTTGCCCCTACATAGTGGGGAACAATTCGATTGCAACTTCAAGTATTAATGCTAGAGACCGCGTTTGGTTCGAATCGGCTCAGTGGTTCTTGAGAAGGAGATATAATTATGAAAAATTAACAGACTAAAGACTCAGTTGACCTTAAAGTTTGTTCGTTCGATAAGTGTCTTAGTATTGTAATCAAACTATGATCAAGTGAAATGACTTAGAACGATTACCCTATCTCGATGTGATAGGAAAACTTGATACAGGAACATAATTTTAACATAGTCATTTATGTAAAGATTGCATATAACACATTTTATAAAAGTTACCGGTAACCAAAACATTCTATTACTTGTGGAGTGTGACTCAGTTTATTGGGATCAAAATAGTTTGCTCTATTTTTTCATTGCCGGCGTCACTATATCACAGGTATCGATGTATATCCGTTTTGTTAAATATTACCGAAATGATAAGCTACATAATTCCAAGTTATGTAATTTTATCGAATTGTAACTCGTACATTTTGCAGTTTTAATTGATGTTTTAACTTTTTATTTGCCTTAGTTGGATTAACATTTCTACAGTGTTTCAGGCCGATACCTCTGTCCCCAGTCTGCAGTACTTTGATTTAATTTGTTATTACAGCCCAAACGTTTGTAAATGACAATGTAATTAATATTAATACTCCTACACAGTTTTGAAAGCCCAGGGAAACACAATAGTTGAACATAACCATGGCCAAATCGAGGATACTGTAAGTCCTGCTAGTATGATGTCACAATTCAAGCCTCGTTATCGTTATATCATGGTAGGCGTCATCCCCAATGCTCTGCCTAGCTGTCACGCTTGAATTTCGCTACCCACATTTTCAATGTAGCCAGTGAAGGAAACTCATTCCCTAGTGTTGCTGCCATATCAGTATGGATATCCTTAGGTGCTAGACCTTACATATCCAATTGAATCGCTGCTCTTTCACTGCGGTTTTGTCCATTTTGCGAAAGTCACTTGCCTTGTTTACTTTAGAGTGTTACCTCTTCGACATTAACAGACAATATGACACCATTCTTCGGTTACGCAACCTAAAATAATCATGGAATAGCAGGGCTGAAAAAGGACATCCATGCTTAACTTCTTCTATTCAGAGCTCACAACTTATCGATCAGCCCTCGTATGCGAAACAGCAATATTGAATTTGAGCATTATTTCGGACTTTACAAGTCTACTTCGGCAACAACGTGTTATTGTGGGTCACATGATTATTTGTTTACTTCCGGTGTACAAAAATTAGTAGGGATGCAATGAAAAAAATACGAATGCCATTTTCTTATTTTAGTAATACATTTATAAGTTATCATCAAATTTTATTATGAATATCATAGAATGGTATGTTTGTCTGTGACCCAAGTATTATTTAAGCAAATTACTACTATCAAATAGATATTTTAATTTTTTTTTGTGATCCTTCGCCCCTTCGTAAATTTCGACCAGTCCACCAAGAAGCATTTTGATTGGTTTACTTCTCGAGGCCATGAAGGACAAAGAATAATACGGGAAAATGGCGACGTATCTCTGGCGAAAATAGTAGGAGTATTTTGAGAATAGAAGACTTGACAGCAATGGCCGAACTACTGTGTACACATTCTCACATTCCTCTACCCTCAGGAATTAATGATGGCCGTATGAACAGCCGGAAGTCTTCGTCATCTGACAATGATTCGTCGTCAAAAGATATCAACCGATTCGAGAATTGCCAATTCGCTAACATTTCAGAACGCAAAGCAGTGAACATTGAGTTTACTGACTTGGTTTACAGTGTGAAACAAGGAAGGCACAAAGGTATAAACCTCACGTATTAGATATAGAGTGGGTGGTATCGACCGTCTGTATAACCAGGCTGTATGGTTGGGGAGGGGGTTGTCAGATCTGTTATGGTTCTTGTCATGACTGTGGCTACCTGTCCACAGGCACCTGTATAGGGGCTGGATTTTTGCTTGTGTTGTTGACGTACCATATACAAGTCCCTATAGGGTTATAAAAGTATTTTCATCCTGTGTATTATAGCATCATGTATCTTCATAAATTGTGAAATTATAGAGAGATTTGTCGAAAAATAAGGAAATATTATTGAATTTTTCATCATTTCCGGAAAATATCACATGGGGAAAGACTTTTGAAAAGGCTTGAAAACAACACTGTACTGTTTATTGAAATTACATTAATTTAGAATTTATCTTATTACATTCGATTGAAAGTTTACACAATTGCATATATACTTATTTATGGTAATTTGGTTGCATGGACATATTAAATTTGAGTTTAAAACAATGAAGGACCACACATGACTAATATCAGAAAATTAAGCACACATTTTGAGTGATGAAAATGGCTAGGTGTACCTAATGACTGTTCTAGGAGGAACCAGTGTCCTTGGACAAATTTTTTCCCCAGTAGTTCATTAATTGAGATAGCTTTTGAGGGGAGTATATGGTTGCCGCTTTGTCTATCTGTTCTGTTCATCCTTTTTCATGGGAATATAACTGTGTCTACAATTAAGTAAGGATCATGAAAAAGGGTGTGTACATTGAAACCTCACTATTAAGACCACTTTCGGGACTGGACAAAAGTAGTCTTAATAGAGAGGTGGTCTTACTAATGAGGCGATACAGATTACCCACCAAGATCCGTAATTCTGAAATGAAGACTGTATTTATCATCAAGTAATGTACATGTAGGTGTATCATTCAGCAGTATTAACTTATCAAACTGTTTATAAAATGTTGAAATATATGAAATGCAAGTAAATTAAATATATATAAGATTGATGAATTGACAAGAGAATATATGTGTATATATTCATTTGTTAGTTTTTATCGTAAAATACATGTAAATTAACTCTTTTAAACATTAAAAAGAAAAACTATTTCAAGTTTTGATAGAAATTTAATTTTGAAAAATGAAATTTCCTCTAGTGATCTAACATAGAGTGGTTTCCCTTGTTTTTCTCATAGCTTTCCAAATTGTCTGCCTTCTATTTCAAGATAATTTGAACTTGAGTTTTACCAATACAACAGTTCGACAAGTTGTCACTGACTACAGCCCACAATGATTAAGTTAAACTTTCTTCTTGAGCAATAACTTGTTTTATTTACATGATATCGTCATTGCGTGATTAACTTCATCCGAGTTGAGTGACAAGTAAAAATATTTTGTTAAAAAATTAGGAATAGAAACCTGTTTGGTTGGTTATTCAAATGATTTAGAGAGTATGATATCACTACAAAATAATTTTAAACCCTCGGTATCTTGTTCACGTGAGAACGAATGAAAATCTGAAAAGTTGCGTATCTCACCCTTAGGTATGGATGGCTTCCAAGATGATTAAGAGCATACATGACGACCACTAAATACATAATTAACAAAGAAAATATCACAATTAAAAACGTCTGAAATGTAGTTTCACACAGGTAGGCCAAGATAATCTGATAATAATGTTTGCTTCGTGTAACGGCACCTGTTGACGAGGTTGTTAACCAGTGACAAAAAAATGATTGAGATTGACACACATGTCCACCAGGTTAACGTTTATAAGATAGGGTCGTAGTGCGGAATAGCGGGACAGTCGTAATACTGAGGTGACTGCAAAGCATTGAATTGTACTGTTGAATTAACATGGACGGGCACATGTAATGCCATATTGAGTCCAGAAAATTAGCTTTAACTGAATTTCAGTTTAAAGTAGAGATAACTGGACAACATTCAAATTTAAATTAAAGTCGAACCTTGTTATCTTCGACTCAACCAAAATTTGACTCAATGATGTTTGAGTCATCCCAACAGAAATAACAAAGAAGGAAAAAAATTGGTTTTAGAAAATTATTTCAACTCAAATGGAATTTCAACTCAAGCAATTGTTTTGGAACATTTCAATGATTTCTTGACCTATGTTTGACCTTGAAACAAATGAGGGCAGATTCAGTATGATCAATGACACATGTTCCTGCCTCCACAAGGAATAGTATGTTTTGGTTTCAGGTCACTCTGACCTACATTTTGACCTTTTACCCAGACTTCATGAAACCATTTGGAGTATGGGTCCACCTGAGTGAGGCATTGTACAATAGGTATTAAAAGTTGATCACTGATGACCTACACCGAAGAAAAAAAATTTACTGAGTGATGTATTGCAAGCTGGTATTTCTTACCTACATTTTGTACTTGGATCTACATTAAAGAACAAATTTGTCAGAGATCTTATTACCTTCTATTCACTTGAACTTTATACTTGCTTTGTGGGTATAACATTTACCTTGGTGTGTAAGTGGAAGACTGTAATTTGCCAAATTTTCTTATATTTCAATGCCTTCACGATAAACTTTTAATTCAGGAAGCTAAAGCCCAAATACAACAACCATTTTGTTCAAACATCATCATTAAGTTTTGAAGTCCAATTACCAAATCGACAAGTAGATTTCTCCACTCCTGGCTTGATATATGATGTTAAAGGGAACAATTGTGTCTTGTTGTTTTATATACATTACTGACATTTCCACAGATTTGAGTTTTTATCTCATTATTGACCTGTTAACCAGTGACTTCACTCAAATATGTATGTCACTAGTGCTATATACCCTAGAGTGCTTTTCATTGGCTGCACCATACAAAAATTGATTTTAATATCCTTATATGGAGAGTGACTTTTCATCATGAATGGAAATTAGTGTAACAAAATGGATTAAAACTTGTCAAACATCCAAGATTTGTGATAAACAGTATCTTGTATTTGTTTTCATTTCATAGATTTTATAAAACTCAACAAGGGTTGCAAAAGTAAAAACTTTTAAGACTCATTTTGTAAAATTCTCCTATGAAATGAAAACTAGGTGAAGATCCTGTATGTATTTAAACTTATAATGCCTTATAATTTTGATGTTATGTATATACATCAAAATCAGATATATTACATAATATCTGTTATATGATAATATGTATATATATCAAAAATCATATAACAGGTATTATGTAATATATCTGTCGTTCTGAATCTCTGGTCATACAAATACTGTAAACATCCAGTCATTTGGACTTAGTGGTTAGTTCAAACACATGATTTGTTGTGGAAAAAAGAACAATTTTCCATCTAATGATAGTTTGAACATAGCTTATTCATCTTTAACCAGGTTTTCTGAATGTTTGAACTCATCAAATTTTGAATAAATGTTAAACGCAATTGTGGCGGCTGCCTCGTTATTTCTAAGTTATCAATATTCTTTACCGCAGCATTTTTCTCCGACAGTGGATTTATTTTAAGTGGATGTATGATCAGTTGAGGTCACATGTTATATACAACGTACATTCATCTGGCGACTTTAGGCCATTGAAACTGAAACACTGACTGATGGTCATGACATCCTTCTGTTTATGCAGTATAAACTATTATCTTTATTCTGTAATCAATCCACTCTTCAGTCCAAACAATGTTAGGTTATCGACCCTATATATATATATATATATGTTTGCTATGTAAACGTACCTAGCATATACACCTGTCCCCTATATTGTTTGTATAGGTACATGTAACGGGTCAATGTCAAAGTCAGCCTGAATGATTAAATTTTTAAGGAATATTTAAATATAGTTGGGGCAGGATGAGAATTTTTACACAGCAAAATTAGGAATTCAGTTCTTAAAAATGCTTTCATTGTGCCCAGCTTCAAACAAACGTGATGTTATGAAATGTCCTACATAAATATTTATATGTGAATAGTGCCCCTTTACTCGTCTGTAGAACACAATTACAGGTGTTTGTTGGTATTTTAATGTAAAATCAGTGTGTGTGGGTATATTAAAGAATTAAACTGTTATTACAATTTTATGAGGTGATCAGGTTCAGTGTGATATTATTGATAGTCGGAAGGGATGGCAATAATTTTGGTCTGTGTGCGGCAAAAGTCGACTTCCCGAAATTTTGCATTGAATACCAAAGAAAGTGCCGATTAGTAATTTCGTCTCTTATTGTAGTGCTGGAGTTCTGACATTCATTAATTCAAGACTGATGTAAACAAGTTGATAGAACATAGAATAATTCAGAATATGAGTATCAGTTCACCACAGACAGTAACTACATTGAAATAACATGTAAAACTGGGTGTTTTTTTTTTTTATTTTTTTGGACTTCATTCAAAATGCAAGCACTTCATGTTTGGAATCTACAATTGATGGTAACAAAATGACGGTGTATATACTAGCTGCCATTTCAGATATTTCGTTATGATTAAGTTGTCTTGTTAAGCTTCATGTAGGTACCTCTACCTGTAAATCATGGAACATGAACAACTGGTATTGATTTGTACTGTGTTCAAATGCATGATCGAACAGGAATATCATAGTTTTGACTTTGGTCTATGTTTGACCTTTAAATTTGACTTCATTATATGTTTGATATTGAAATTTTATCACATTCTGTATTTGACCTTTAAATTTGACCTCATTCTGTGTTTGACCTTTAAATTTGATCTCATTCTTTGTTTGACCTTTAAATTTGATCTCATTCTGTGTTTGACCTTTAAATATGATCTCATTCTGTGTTTGACTTTTAAATTTGACTTTGATTCATGTACCAAGCTACAGGCTTCTGGTACTAGGTACTTTTTTTTGTCTCAATGTACATTTCATTTATGAACTTTGTAATTTGGTTATGTATATAAAAACATTGTACATATATGATGGAAACACATGTACATCTGATCTTTATTTGACCTGTGACCTTAAACATCTTATCTGTATTTGACCTTTGACCTTGATAACAGTTAAAGAACTGACATCATTATATCTATAATCACGAAAACTCATGTATCAATATTTCTTGATAGGGAAATTTAAAGCATGCATATTACTTTATACAAGGATATCATGAATATATGTTCTCACAAAGATTGTGATAGATATAAAACTACTATAACGTTCTACTGTAAATGATATTTAACTATACACAGAGAAAAGTTACGTATGTGATATATACCACTGACATAGTGTCGCTGAGTACTTCTCTAATTGTATTTGATCAAAGTCCAGAACAGGCCACTGCTATTGTGTTGCTCCTTCAAACAGAGTGGTATATATTTTGTGTATATGTACAATGTGAATTAACTCATGTATTATCACTTAAAATCATTATACAGAATAAATAAGATTTAACTTAACCCTATTTTTTTCTTTTTTAATTTCATTTTTTGGATAAAATATTGGAACTTATAGCTCCTTATTTTACATTTATATAATGGTCTCTCCGATTGGGAACCTTATTCTTAAGGATAAGGCACAATTACTTCATAAAGAATTGTTGTATACCGGTACACAATATGTACCAAGTGTATCATGTTGAAGATCAGAATATCTTTTATACAATACTTAATGACATATATTGGATATTGCATGAGTTTTAGTTGATATGTGATTTGAGAAATGAGACTTAAGAATGTATTTTTATTGTAGTGAACCTTATAGCAAGCTATAGTAAAAAAAATTGTGACAATTTTGGCAACTAGATTTGGGATTTAAACTTTTTTTTTTCTTTTGTAAGATTTTTTTTTCTTTCTTTTTTAATGCCACACCTGACACTTGTTTTGCTTTGAGTTCTGTTGAGACATCCATATTTTTATTTGATACAGCCAAGTTTTCAAAATTAACATCTTTTGTATTTATTGTAAAGTAACATCATGACCATAAAGCTGTGACATACAGGAATAAGACTTTGTGTGATATAAAAGCTAAAGTCTTCATTCATTTTGAAATGTTGAATAAGATAAGATATTGTTAAACTTCTGTAGATGACTTATGTTGACAGCGATAGAAGTTATATGTGTACAGTATAGTCGCACAAGATAAGTGGATTTAAGTCATAGTACAACACCAGATAATTCCATCTGAAAAGTACCAGTATCTCAGTCTGGGAATTAGCTTTATAGATCGGGCTTTTTTAAGGGCTTCCTAGGGCCAATAATGGGCCTATTCCCAATAACAATTATTTCATATTCAAGCCAAATTCTCCTCATTTTTCCTTCCTGTTTTATCGATGTTCTTCCCAAAATGAAGCAGTAAGGCTCTATCTGAAACCAGTGAACAAAAGTCTTTGATAATTTTTATCATGCACATGCACCTAAATTGATTCATGTATATCCGAAATTTGATTGTTTGAACATGACTCGATATTTTTCATTTTGTAAGGGGGAATAAGTCTTAAAGTACACATTCTTATCAGGGTTCATATTGTTTTTATCATTACAGTTTTCCACACACAAAAAATTGTGTACGTTTTATTTCGGCATCATTTGTCTTGTTTAATAAGATTAATGTTTAAGTGATCTGTTTAAATTTTTAAATGTTTTATTATTTGTTATGTTTTCAGATGAGAAAGTGATATTAAAGAATGTATCCGGTCAGTTCAATGCAGGGAACTTGACTGCAATTATGGGTCCTTCGGGAGCTGGTAAATCTTCATTGATGAACATACTGGCAGGATACAGGTATTTCATTTCAATATTACTACATAACCTATATAGTACTAGTGGAAAGAAGTACTGGGTAGGGAGAGTGGCATTTTGCAAAAGTTAGTGGGGTTGGGTAGGGAGACTGAATAGGGCAGGGCATAGGGCAAGGAGCTGTAGAGTACAGACATGAGAGAGGTAGGGGGAGGGGCTGGAGCCGGTTCAACAAGGATATTGAAAAAACATTTGCTGGCATTTGACCTGAAATAAATTGAAATGATATCGTTTCTGATTGCATTCGTAATTACTTTCACTGTTTGATGTGATACTAGGATTGAATTTTTTTTCTTAAATGTGGCATCAGGACTCTCAATTATTGTGAAACTTGAAATATCCTTAAACATGGCACTATTGCTTACATCCTATAATGTGGCTTCATGAGTATCCTACCCTGTGATGTGGCACTGTGACTCATTTTATAAGCCACTGGTTAAGTTAACTATGTCATTTATATCACACAAGGACACATGTTCTGAAGGCTTTAGTTTTATCCTGTAATGTGACATTAATGCAATCTACTTATTCTGTTATAGGACAAAGAATATCACAGGACAGATCCTGGTAAACGGTCATGATCGGGACTTACGTCGGTTCCGTAAAAACTCATGTTACATCATGCAAGACGACCATCTACTGCCCCATCTGAGCGTGGAGGAGGCCATGATGTGTTCTGCACACCTTAAACTTGCTGAAAAGATGTCTTTGGTAGAAAAAGAGGACCTGGTTTGTATTCATTATAGACATACTAACTTGTGTACATGTTCTGACATTTAATCAATTGTCTGCGATATTGGATTTCAATGAATGACAACTTCCATTTCAGTTATTTTATTTATGGAAATGAAACATAATACAACAATAAAAAAGCTTATAAATACCTGTATTAATGGGAAATACCACAGCATCATACCAGAAAACTGTAGCATTATATAATCAAGGGAGATAACTCCAGTTAAATTAGCTGGGTGACTAAACTCGGCTGTCTGGAAAAGACAACATTGGAATTCTATTATCATGGATTAACTATTCTGACATGCACAGATTTTAATGCATGCAATGAAAAATCATAATTGTTTAATGCATGGATTAAGACACCCCCGCTTTATTTTGTGTATGTGATAAGAACAATTTAGTAAATTTCAGTCGGCTGCTTACATTTTAATCCCATTCTTAGATTTGTATGTCGACTATCTCATTACTGTATAGTTTTGTGGAGAATATTGATGTACTGTGTGTACATTTAATGCAGATTTCTGATATTTAGCTGTGTTTCTTAAGGTGGATGAGATTTTAGAAGCTTTGGGTCTGATGGCGACAAAGAAAACAAGGACCATCAAGTTATCAGGTGGTCAGCGGAAACGTCTGTCCATTGCTCTGGAGTTGGTCAATAATCCACCGATCATGTTTTTTGATGAGCCCACAAGGTAGGATTGCAGACAAGTCATTCTCGTTGAAAAGTTACATTGTTGTACATTGCACAGATGTCACTGATTTGATGGAAAATGTATTCAAAATTTCAAATTTGGTCATTAATATACATCTTCTATAAATGAGTTTGATTGTTTTGCATGTGATGGATTTTGTCTCATATTTAAGGGTAGATATATATATATATATATATTATCAACAAGTTTAGCTTTTCAGTAATTTCAGTACTTTGATGTTGTGTGAGTGTGAACTAAGATGTATGGTTTGTGGTGTGGCAGTGGACTAAGATGTATGGTCTGTTTTGTGTTGGATTAAGATGTATGGTTTGTGGTGTGGCAGTGGATTAAGATGTATGGTTTGTTGTATGACTGTGGATTACGATGAATTTTTTGTTGTGTGTTGTATTAAGATGTATGGTCTGGTTTGTGTATGATGTTAGTCTGTGTTGTGTTGGATTATGATGTATGGTCTGTTTTGTGTTGGATTAAGATGTATGGTCTGTTTTGTGTTGGATTAAGATGTATGGTCTGTTTTGTGTTGGATTAAGATGTATGGTCTGTTTTGTGTTGGATTATGATGACAGTGGATTCAGATGTATTGTCTGTTTTGTGATGGATTATGATGTATGGTCTGTTTTGTGATGGATTATGATGTATGGTCTGTTTTGTGATGGATTAAGATGTATGGTCTGTGTTGTGTTGGATTAAGATGTATGGTCTGTTTTGTGACAGTGGATTAAGATGTATGGTCTGTTTTAGATGTATGGTCTGTTTTGTGTTGGATTAAGATGTATGGTCTGGTTTGTGTTGGATTAAGATGTATGGTCTGTTTTAGATGTATGGTCTGTTTTGTGTTGGATTAAGATGTATGGTCTGGTTTGTGTTGGATTAAGATGTATGGTCTGTTTTGTGTTGGATTAAGATGTATGGTTTGTTGTGTGACAGTGGATTAAGATGTATGGTCTGTTTTGTGTTGGATTAAGATGTATGGTCTGTTTTGTGATGGATTAAGATGTATGGTCTGTTTTGTGTTGGATTAAGATGTATGGTCTGTTTTGTGTTGGATTAAGATGTATGGTCTGTTTTGTGTTGGATTAAGATGTATGGTCTGTTTTGTGATGGATTAAGATGTATGGTCTGTTTTGTGTTGGATTAAGATGTATGGTTTGTTGTGTGACTGTGGATTAAGATGTATGGTCTGTGTTGTGTTGGATTAAGATGTATGGTCTGTTTTGTGTTGGATTATGATGTATGGTCTGTTTTGTGTTGGATTATGATGTATGGTCTGGTTTGTGTATGATGTATGGTCTGTATTGTGATGGATTATAATGTATGGTTTGTTGTGTGACTGTGGATTAAGATGTGTGGTCTGTTTTGTGATGGGTTGAGATTTTCAATCTACTTGTATTATGTTCCAGTGGATTAGACAGCGCCTCCTGTTTCCAGTGTGTGTCAGTATTAAAGGCCTTGGCTGGTGGTGGGCGGACCATTGTATGCACTATACATCAACCAAGCGCCAAACTCTTTGAAATGTTTGATTATGTAAGTTCTTGCTCTAGCTATTTAGCTATTTGCATGGATTTATCTAGAATGTAGGAAATACCACCCATTGTGGGGAAAAGTTTTGGCCTGTTTTGAAAATGGGAAAATTTTGGACAGCTCTTTGATCACAATTCGAAAGAGAAATGGGAAAAATATATATGATCATGTTGAGGTAAGGTAGATATTTCTTTGTACTTGATGGCATGATTTGAAACTAATTAAATAAAGATTAAGTCAATAAGCTGTGTTTTTGTGGGAAAGTTTTCCTCTCTTTGGGAAATTCTCTGATTCTTCTGGTATATTTACTTAGTTGGGAATTAGTTGACATCCATAGGGGACAACATACCACTTGAGGAATATTACCCTTTTCGGGTTGTAAAGTCTAGACAATCTCTGAAATGTTTGATAACAGATAGGTTTACATGCGAGGCAGAGATTTTTAGGATGTTTACACTTTAATGAAGTCCCGAATTCACTCTGTAATGCTGGTTTTTTTTTCCATCCAAACAAAACAAATTTTGTTGTCAATATTTTGCAAATTACACAAGGAAACCCTGCTTTGTTTAATTCAAAAAAAAAATTTCAATGCAAAAATAAAAAAAAAAAATCTTACAGAAAATAATGAAAAATACTCTTGTGTCCCTCCTATAACAGATTAAACATGTTATCTGTTTTAGCTTTACATGCTGGGCGAAGGTAACTGTATATATAGAGGCACTATTAAGAATGTCATTCCGTACTTTCGCTCTCAAGGCTGTGTCTGCCCTCCCTACCACAACCCCGCAGACTTTGGTAAGTATTTGTCTTCGCAAATACTATGTTTACACATTTGTTAAATGTACACTGAGGTGATCAAGTGTTTTAACACAATAATTAAGAAACTGTTTCTTTAAAATATTTGAAATTCCAAAAAGTTGTATCAGTAAGGTATGAAAATATTTAAATCTGTATATTTCAACTAAGAATAGTCTGTGAAGTCATTCTACTAATCTAGCACTGGTTGGTTTCAGAATATCAAACCAGGATGTTTACGTTCTTACTTTTTGTAGAGTTGACTTTGTACTGTTATATTCAGACTCACTTTGAAATACTGTGAACTTAAATAATTTAGTGATTATCTTTTAGCAATGTTAGCTCTGATAATATTGTGCTAAAATATGATGGTCCTAATTAGTTTCTGTAAATTGATCAATTGATCATTTACTTTATTTGGCAAACTTACCTCTTCAGATATTCTTGAATGATTTTGAGAACGTTAATCTAGAAATTACTTCAAATTGTCGAATGATGAGCTATTAAAGACCTGAAATTTTCAAGACCCTAATATGAACATAAATGCCCTCCCGTATTATTTTCATACAAATAATCACAAATTATTTGAATTAGTAATTTACTGTTCTTACATAATAACAGGGAAAAAATCCCATGCGAGCTGTAAGTGACTTACAGTATAGAAATGTGAAATTGACTTTGAGGAATACATGTGTATATAATGTTTTTTTTCTGACAGTGATGGAGATTGCTGCGGGAGAATGTGGAAATGATAAAGTGGTACAACTTATTATGGCAATTAAAAATGGAAAATGTGAAGAGCTGGCTCTCGAAGACAAAGTAAAGGCTATAAAGGAAGGACTGGAGGAGGGTTCAGAGGTCAAGGTCGTTAGTAACGGTGTTTCTATACCAAACGGTACAGCAACAAAGCATGTTGATGATGATGAACTCTTTTTGAATAACCTTGATGAAAAAAACAAACTGATGAAATGTAACGGAACATCTCAAACAAACGGACATGTACCAAACTTGGCCGTCAACAAATTACAGAATGGTGACGCAAAGAAAACTTCTTCACCGGTTAGTATTGTCAGGGTTGTGTTCTAACTGGGGTTGATCGTTTAATCATGTGAAAGTTCTATGATAGTACACCTTGGTGTCAAGGTAGGATGATAAGATACCAGTTATAATGTTGAATTGAACAAATGAAATCATATCATTATGATTAAGAATTATTTTCTGAAGACAAAATTATTTAAGACTCTGGTATGCTTTGGGGCCCAAAACAACTTATGAGGAAACGTACAAATGCACTCTCGTAACCTTTGTGTACTTTATTTTCACAATTAAAATGTATCTTCATTTCGCTTGAAAATAAAATGTTAAAAGACTGATTTTATGGTTTTATCCACAGCTTGAAACACACTTAATGGTTTGTTCATGAAAGTCAGGAAAAGTATTTTTTCCAAATTCACTTAAAGGAGGCAAAAACAAAAGAACATGATACCCACATTTTTCATTGTTGACTTTAACGGTTTTTGACATCACAGACTATAGTCAAAATGTGAAAAGAACGTTGTGGCATAAACCTCTCGCATTTTATATACGAGTGCACAAGAAAGACAGATATTTACAGTTTCCGTTCTTAAAGATTTTATATCCTTGTAAATAGTAAATGAATAAACCTATGAAAAATTATGACTGTTACAGTACAATTCTAAATTAACGTTTTGACCCATGGTTGACCTCTGTGTGACAAGGATGCTTTGTTGATTGTTGAATTATTAATTTATTTATCTATTTTTTACATATTTATTAGGTTTTATGCCAACTGTTACGGCCTTTAAGCCTTACATTCGATAGATAATATACCACTGCCTAAGTACAACCAAATGTGTTAATCCTCACCATGTAGAGATTGAAGGATTTTTATACATTGTAGGAGGGAGACGGTAAGGAAATCTTGACGTTTGCCACCAGCAGTTTTACACAGTTCCGTATCCTCTTCATCCGAACGTTTATGTCAATCATGAGAGACACTGTGAGTATAAACAGAGAAACACTGAAAAATAAAACAGAGTCAAAAATGTAATACTGGTGTCCAATGGCAGCAGTGATCTGTTTTATGTTACCATAGGTACCACAAAGGAAAATGTTTTAAAGGATTAGAATTTCACATCAACAATAATTACTATCTTCAGCACCCTTAAGTTATGATAATCATGCTCACATTGACATTGTAGTTGAAATGATCTTGAGTTCACAAGGAAAAATTTGATGACAGTATTTCAATTTCAAAATTTGTATTTTATGATTAAAATTGAAATTTTCTTAAGTGTAAAAGATGTCTTTATCTTTCCTTATACCCCCACAACAAGATACTGGAAATAACCTTGTCTGTTGGTAATGTTGTTCTTTGCCATTATTGTATGGAGAACTCTTCCTGAACCAGTGAACTGATTCCAATGAAATTTCAACTCAATATCAAGGTATAAAGAACCACTATGTAGATGTCTGTGTAACTTTTGTTCATCTGAGGATGAGGTCTAGTTTTTACAGTAACATTTGTCTAATATTTTTCTGTAGACCCTGACAAGACTACGACTGATATCCCACCTTAGTGTAGGTATCATGATTGGTCTGTTGTACCTGGGAATAGGTAACGAGGCCAGCAAGGTACTAAATAATGCCAGCTTCCTGTTCTTCTGTCTCCTCTTCGTCATGTTTGCTGCCCTGATGCCTACAGTAATGACTTGTAAGTTCATTGCTTTCTGAACTCTTACATAGAGTATACATGGTCAATGACTTGAAATACAAGCTGTATTTTGGTAAGGGTGAAAAAGGACACTTAGGCAACCCACTCTTGTCCTTTTGTTTACCAAGCCAAAATGTAGCTTCTATTTAAGGACACTGACTATGTGTTATATTTTGCCTGCAACACTTACTGAAAATTCAGACAATTGAAAATTCAAAAGTTTGTTTGGGCTATTCAATCTCTGGTTACCTGACGTTGATATTAAACTTAATTGTACCAGATGATGCACATCGAGAATAATTGCTACAATAGATATTAAAGCAATTTTCATATTTTCGTCGATAAACCTGTTTGTTAAAAAAAATAAACCTGTTTGTTACAACAATTGAGAGAGCTTCTTTAAACAGTTATTTAAATATTGGAATGAAATATTATGTAAATCAGAAAGTTGTTTTGTCAAATTAATGCACCTGATAAACAGTACTGCTAATTGTGTATACTGTAACATAGTCTAAATTTTAGTGTTGTTTATTTATTTAAAATACTGGCTTTGTAGTAAAGGTTGTAGAAAAAAATTTAAAAACTGAAATTATTTTAAATCTTTGTAAACTTTGTATCGAAGATGAACATTCATATAATTACCATTGTGTTATGTATCAGTTCCACTTGAGATGGCGGTGTTTGTGAGGGAGCATTTGAACTACTGGTACAGTGTGAAGGCATACTACCTGGCTAAAACCATGGCCGACATGCCATTCCAGGTAAGAGTCAGCAGTAGTGTAGAGCTCACCAATAATTCTAGTATCACACACAAGGTAAAAACTTTTTAGTAACTGGAATAGTTCTAGTATTTAGTTTAGGTTTGGTACTTCATATTAAATGTTAGATGAGTTGATCAATGATTTAAATCAATTGAATTCTTTTACAGATAATTTCCCTGTTTGTGTACAGTAGTCAGGGCTCTCACACCCCATTTTGGGACTGGGGCCTGGGGCCTGGGGCCCTTTGAATTGGGAAAAATAATGGTGTTTTCCTTAGAATTGGGAAATTTTGGGGTCTAAATTGGGGGAAAAAAGATACTATTTTGCATTCGGCCCCAAATCTGGCAGATCGAGAGCCCTGGTAGTATAGTATACTTGATAATGAACTGTACATGTATTTGATTGCATTCTTTTACAGATAATTTCCCAGCTTGTGTACAGTAGTATAGTATACTTGATAATGAACTGTACATGTATTTGATTGCATTCTTTTACAGATAATTTCCCAGCTTGTGTACAGTAGTATAGTATACTTGATAATGAACTGTGCATGTATTTGATTGCATTCTTTTACAGATAATTTCCCAGCTTGTGTACAGTAGTATAGTATACTTGATAATGAACTGTACATGTATTTGATTGCATTCTTTTACAGATAATTTCCCAGCTTGTGTACAGTAGTATAGTATACTGGATAATGATTTATATTTGATTGCATTCTTTTACAGATAATTTTCCCGCTTGTGTACGGCAGTATAGTATACTGGATGACATCACAACCAAATGATTTTACACGGTTTGTTATGTTCCTGACCTTAGCCACACAGACATCCTTGGTTGCTCAATCTCTTGGTCTACTGATTGGAGCGGCAACTTCATTACAGGTGTGATATTACTCACTGGTACAAGGAAGTCAGTTAATGTAAAACAATCACTTATATGACCATTTCTTCTTTGAACGGACAGATTTAAAAGTTTATCAATTGATAGCAGGAAGATCTTTTGGTCGGAAATTTAAATTTTGAGAGAAAGATATTTTATACAAGGGACAGAAGTTGTGATCAAAATATATTTTATACAGATGACAGAAACTTCAGTAAAAAATTATAGTCTTTGTTCTGTGTAGGTGACAGAAACTTTGGTAGAGAAATATGTTCTTTGTTCTGTGTAGGTGACAGAAACTTTGGTAGAGAAATATGTTCTGTGTAGGTGACAGAAACTTTGGTAGAGAAATATGTTCTGTGTAGGTGACAGAAACTTTGGTAGAGAAATATGTTCTGTGTAGGTGACAGAAACTTTGGTAGAGAAATATGTTCTGTGTAGGTGACAGAAACTTTGGTAGAGAAATATGTTCTGTGTAGGTGACAGAAACTTTGGTAGAGAAATATGTACTCTGCAGGTGACAAACATTTTGGTAGAAATATATTTAGCAGAAATTTCTTCTATACAGTGGCAGCAGAAATTTTGATAGAAATCTATATTCTATATAGGTGGCAGTGTTCTTGGGACCAGTGACAGCCATACCTATCCTACTATTCAGTGGTTTCTTTGTCAACTTTGAAACCATTCCAGCATATCTACAATGGTTGTCCTATGTGTCATATATAAGGTAAGTAAACTGAATTGATGCTGCTAAAAATGCTTGGATGTTTTTCACTTTTTCTAGTCCAATATAAATTGGGTTTTTTCCCCAAAGATGACTTTTTTTAGTGTACAGCATTGGACGTCTGTCCAGCTGATACCTATCCATTTTAACAACTTCTCAATATTCAAGAGGACCAGGATATGGACATTGGACTATAGTATGCTGAGAAAAGCAGCTACAAAGCGAGTGAAGATGAATGACCTTGACTCACTTTCAATATCACAGTCATAAATTGCCTTCATATCTTCAGATAGCATCTTAATACCTAAGAGGTCAACAACATATTTGGCCTTAGCCTGCTTGGTTGGAAGGCATCAAAGTTTGTTCACATGACTAACCCTTACCAACTTTCAGTATTACAAGGTTAAATATCTTTTAGCAACATCTTTTATTATCCAAGAGCCACAGGTACATATATTGGGCTTGTAGCATTCTTGGATAAAGGCCTGCCAGATTGGTTTATATGAATGACCTTGACCCACTTTAGAGGTCACAGATGTCATATTTAAAAACCATCCAACAACATCTGCTCAGTAACTCAAGAGACTGAAGGTAGATATTAGGTCATGTTTAGATGAAGGACTATCAATAGGCATAAAACATGTCTTTCTTTGAATAATCCCAACAAAATTTGAAAATAGAATGTTACCTTATAATTAAAAAACAAAGTTGTCAGATAAATTTCGACCCCTATCAACTTTATAGATGACAGTGTTAAGACGTGTTTGCAAACAGAATTGAGTGACGGGTGTGTGCCCATTGGACCTCTTGTTTTAATTCCTTGGTTTTAATGGGTCAGGATTTTTTGTAATATGATTTGTATCCACTCTTCACAGGCACATAGCTAAACCTTGATGGCCCGTTTCTGTACAATAAATAGATATCCTTTTTGTCTGTCCAGTTGATGAAATTTCATCTTTATGTCATATTTTCACAGGTTTTCATTTGAGGGTGTGCTACAAGCTATTTATGGTAACGACAGGGAATCGCTGGACTGTGATAAAGAACGATGCATGTTTAACGCGCCTGATCAAATCCTGAAGGAGATGGATGTAGAAGGAGCAAAATTTTACGTTGATTTTATTGTGCTGTGTGTTTTCTTTGTTATCCTCCGAATTGGGTGCTATTTTGTGTTGAGATGGCGAGTCAAGGCACAGAGATAGAGATCTAGTCAGTATCAACAGGTGAAACCTTCGGTTTGTCTCTAAAATTTCTACAAATTTGTAAAACATAACTGGTTTTTGTGGAAGTAAGATTTTGACACAACTACCCATAACTTGTGTAAGAAAGATATTGACACACTAACCCACAGAATTTACGTCAAATCTTGCCATTCCGCATTTGAAAAAGTGAGAAAAATTACAGGTGGTAAGATTGAGCATACAAAGGAAATAACAAGGTCTTTATGTCCATTGTCTCAGTGTCTAAAATTGACCAATTTATCGCTGTGTACTCGTTTAAATTTTCATTGAAATACTCTGTGTATAACAGAAATAAAACACTATAAATATACCATGACAATATCCTAATATTGGATCTGTATATGAGGGTTGTTTTAAAAAGAAATAATCATGTTTTTGAAAGGGAGGGAGTGGAGGCGGGCAGAAAGATTTTTATGTTTCCCGCAAACTCACTGTATAATTTTCCCTTGGGACCACCTAATATATATTCAAATTTAGTCGCCATTTCCCATACAATATGTAAGTGCCTGCCTTCTTCCCATAGAAAACTTCTCACTATCACTGTGTAAATTTAGGAATTGGATGAACGAATTAGTTTTGGGGTAATTGAGCCTTAAAAACAGAGGACTCCTAAATCAACTGTGAAGAGGTTTAATAAGAAGACAACACTTCGGTATTTTGTGTCTAGTGATTTAGTAGTCACTGCCTCTGATTGAGGTAACTTATCACATTTTTCTTTTTTTATTTATGTAAAAATTTTTTCTTAAGGACTTATTTCTATGCACACCTACTGGCCAATCAAAAGTATTGTAACAAACAACGACGTTGTTACTTAGAATTATATGATAAAGATTATTTGATCATATGGACCATGCTTCCTATGGATTGGATAGTTTTTGGGTAATTTCAGACGAAAGTTTGATTTTTTTTAAAATTTGGTGGGACCAACCAAATGATTAACAGATGATTCTCGCTTTTTCACATTTTATCGAAAATTCCTTCATCCTGAAGATGCTCAGATGGGCCATTAACATATTCCCTTCTCCATAATTTATCTACAACAATTATTTTTTTTTAGAAAAGGTTATAAGGAATCGCTGTGAAGAAGGTATAAAACCAATGGGTCTCTCAAACAGACAGAAATGAATGTACCCCGTTATCAAACATCTTTTGAACTATTATCTAAGGAAGTGTTTTACGTAACATTTGTTTACCAAATTCTTATTGTCATCACAAAATTCTAAATTAAAACTTACATTTTTCCCATTTTGAATTTGTTCATATAATTGTAAGGTGCTTTGTCTAAGAAGTTTTTTCCTCATGTTTTTATCGGAAATTAGCAAAAATTATACTTGGTCAGAAATCACATTTTCAATTGTTTTTTTATTTTTTTTTTTTCGTAATTTGCTATCCAGTTCAAACTGCTATGTAGCAGGTGAGATTTTAACTTTATAGTTCATTTTGTCAACATAAGTTTATATACAGTAGCTAGTGAAGCAAGCAACATTTTTATATTGAAGTGCGATTGTTAATTGTAGATTTAGAGACTTACAATGGAGCCACTTTGATGTCACAGTGAAGTGGACGACGGTAGTTTTTACAGACTAGAAAAGCATATTTTTTATTTAATAGTGGTGTGCATTGTTTTCCTGATTTGTGATGTAGTTGTATTTTTGGTGACTTCATTTTATTTGATTTAGATATTGTTACGAAAGGAATTTGTCAACTTGTTTAATATCATAAAGTGGTAAGATAATAGCATTATTGTTATAAAAATGTTTTTGGCCAAAATAATGAAAAAATGAGAATGAATGGGAGAGTAACTAGTAGAGTGTCGTCTTGAACAACACACGGGAATGATACTTAAAAGTCACCATCAGAGCAGAAAACTCCAAAGTAAAGATGAGAAAATGAGAGTACAAGTCGAGATCAGAAAGGGAGAATACCTCCAAGTCAAGGTTAGAAAGGGAGAATACTCCCAAGTTGAGATCAGAAGGGGAGAATACTCCCAAATTGAGATCAGAAAGGGAGAATACTCCCAAGTCGAGGTTAGAAAGGGAGAATACTCACAAGTTGAGATCAGAAGGGGAGAATACTTATAAGTCGAGGTTAGAAAGGGAGAATACATTCAGGTCAAGATCAGAAAGAGAGAATACCTAGGTAACTCCCAAGTCAAGTTTAGAGAGGGAGAATACTTAGTCATGATCAGAAAGAGAGAATACTCTGAAGTCAAAATTGGCAAAGAAGCATGTTACTTAGTAACGCTTTATAACTGGTGAAATGGTGATGTTTACCATAATGTAAACAATGTTCTTAATATTTATATGTTAAGGGGATGGACTCTGTCAATATGATGTTGAGAGCAAGACATTTGAAAATGAAAATGTTAATTTATAAATATCATGTATATTAAAATCTTTTTGATGTATATATTAAAAAAAACTTGTCTCATGACAAATGACATTAGTACTCTTCAGCAGTGATTATATTTTAATTTCTTAGTGGCATTGAACAAGTCGTACTGAGATTTATTTTTTTACTCTGGTGCCATCATATTGCTCTGTCATACAAATATTTAAACATGAAGTTTCATCCTTTGATCAGCATTTGTATTGTAATGGTCACAAATTCTCATGTAATCATCCTTCCTGCTCATTAGAAATGCCAGAAAAAATTTGCTACTGTAAAATGAAAGGATTTTATAATTGAACCTGGAACATGAGAGGATTTTCTAAATTAAGCCGGAGATATTAAAGGTTTGTACATAAAAATTTCAAAATGAAAGATTTACAAATTAAAAATTTTGAAAATGAAAGGATTTTATAATTGAACCTGGAACATGAGAGGATTTTCTAAATTAAGCCGGAGATATTAAAGGTTTGTACATAAAAATTTCAAAATGAAAGATTTACAAATTTTAAAAATTTTGAAAATGAAAGGATTTTATAATTGAACCTGGAATATGAGAGGATTTTCTAAATTAAGCCGGAGATATTAAAGGTTTGTACATAAAAATTTCAAAATGAAAGGATTTATAAATAAAACTGGAAAATAAAAGGATTTGCAAAATGAAACTGGAAAATGCAAGCATTTGAAAATTGAAACAGGAAATGAAAGAATTTGAAACATTGAAACTGGAAAATAAGTTTCTTATATTGACTTTGTATAACATTTAATGAAATAAGTGTTGTAATTACAATATCTTGTTTTTTGCCAAATTGTATAAAGGATGTTTGAACTGTGTTAGATATGTTTATATTTGTGGGTGCATGCATTTCTCGGTTTGCACAAGGATTAGGTTTTGAAACAAGAAACTAATGAAGATATTGTATTGTTTCTATGTTCAACTTATGTGATCCATATCTTATAAAGAATAATATTTTGTTATGTGTGCAAATTTTTAACAAGTAAATTGACTTCATATTGTGATAGTGAGATGGGCTGGACAGCTGTGTAGTTCCATGGCTAGCTTTTGCTGCAAGGTGATTGACTGTTATGTCTATGTACCAAAGTCCAGCAACGGTGAGCATGGACAGTACTTGGATGGATGACCACTTCCTTGTACCCACGGTGCATGTTACATTAGCTAGCTATAAAACCCTGAACTGTTCTGTGTATCACATGACACGCGTTAATAGAAGTGAACTATTACCAACCTGAATGAAAAGTTCATTCTAAAATAATTTATAAAGTACTTTTTTCATATCACATGTATCAAGAGACTGGTTTCATTTTAAGTAAAGGCTATGTTATTGCATAAATGGAAATTATAATGTTACATTCGGAATATGTGAGCCCCGTGATTTGGGACTATTAAGTCTACAAACAGTGTCTACCAACTGCATTCTCAATTTGATATCCATAAGAGGGAATCTGCCATTAAAATAATTCCAGATATTTTGATGAAGTATGTCTAAAATATGAAATAAATGGCAACACATACACATTTACAAAAAATCAGGTAAAAACAGAATTTAAATGATCTTTTGTTGGTATTATTGGTTACGAAATACAAAGCATTGCACGCATATCTTCACTTCATTTCACTATCTTTACCAAAAGTATTTCAAAAAAATTTAAATACCAGTTGTTAAACATTAGTTGTGATGAATTAAAGAAAAAATGTTGTTACAAAGTTAAAGATTGTTAATTGGGTGTTAATTTTAGATGTTATATACAAGATTATAGCTACAATTTATAAGAAAGTTAAAAGAACATTGTAGTGTTATAAGCATTTCATTGTTTCAGAGGTCAGATTTGATCATTCCATTTTTCCTCCAATTTTAGAGGTACAGTGAAATCTGGCAGGCGTTAAATCAGATAGCTTATATGGTGTTACACTGGATTCCTGGCTGCACTTACATAAAACTGAAAGATGAAAGTGGCTGTAAGGAATGTCTGTCTGCTTAGTCATATCCATTATTCAGACCATCCTGGTATTATTGAGACCACTTTTCCAGTAATCAGTATGAGTGTAATGACAGACGAGGCTGGTGCCTGTGTATTTAGTGTAATGACAGACGAGGCTGGTGTCTGTGTATTTAGTGTAATGACAGACGAGGCTGGTGTCTGTGTATTTAGTATAATGACAGATGAGGCTGGTGTCTGTATTTAGTGTATTGACAGACGAGGCTGTTACCTGTGGTCTTAATAGTGATGTTTCACTGTACTATGTCACTGATGATACTGTATGAAACTATAGCAGGAAGTGGTTTTATTTGTTGTTGTTACAGATGAGATTTTCTATTAAAGCTTTGTGTTTTGTTTTCCTTAAGTAATTGATGTTTTTTTCCAAGTGGAACTTTGATAAATGTTCCCTTATGTGGCAGGTGAGATTTGTAATAAAATTGTATCTGTTGTGTTACATGGGGGATTCTTGACCAAGATTATATATCTACCATGCAATATGAGGGTTTATGTAATCCAACCGATAGATGAGATTTCATTCAACATTGGGCCTGATGAAGAATTACCATGTGACAGATTATGTATTGATAA